TGCTATTGCTATTGCTCTGTGGCAGCCCACCAGATATTGGACGACTGCTATCCTGCCTCCCCTGGTCCCTCTCTTCCCTCGACTAGCCATGCCCGGTTCCTGCAACCGTCCATCGTATGTTTTAACCTCCAGTCCCCTCATCATCCTGGTTGCTCTTCTCTGCCCTCTTTCTAGAGTCTCAACCTCTTTTTTATAGTGTGGGGACCAAAACTGGATGCAGGATTCCCGGTGTGGCCTTATTAAGGCTTTACAGAGTGGTATTAGGACCCCACTTGAGTTAAGGCAAATGGAGGATCACGGTGTGGTTTCTGTCCCTTTTCCCTCAGGTGCCCTCAGAGAGCGGGAAGGACACCGACGTGAGTAGCCTGGCCTTCCAGAGCGAGGCAGGAGACCAGAGTGACGACGAAGAAGAGGCGGAGGAAGGGTCCGAGTTACGGGAGTGGCGGAGCAGATTCCGGGAGGAAAAGATGAAAGTCATCCAGCTGGAACTGCAGCTGGACCAAAAGACCAAAGACTGCCAGCTCTTCTCCAAGGACTGCCAGCTCTTGAAGGAGAAAGTCTGGGACCAAGTACAGGAGATCAGCCAGCTCCTGCCGGATCGGGAGGGACGTAGCCGCGACTGGCGGCTGCTGAGCCGGGATCTCACGGAGGGGGACCACTGCCTGGACCTTCTGGCCCAGCAGGTCCAAGAGCTGAAGGAGAGGAAGAAGCAGCAGGAAGCAGAGAAGGAGCTGCCCAAAGCTTCAACGCAAGGGGTGACGAGTCCCGCTAAGCTCCAGCCGGGGATAGCCCGGTGGCCCGGCGAGGAAGAGGCGGAGGAGCTGAAGCGCCTGCAGAGCGAGCTGGAGGCAGCCCTGGAGGGGAAGGCCACGGCAGCCCGGCGGGTGGAGGAGATGGAGGGGCACATGGAGAACATGAGGGCCGTCATCGGGGTCTTTGAAGCCAAGAAGAAGTCGCAGAACGCGGCCCTCAAGGAGATGGAGGCTCGGACGCAGCAGCTGGGCGAAGAGAACCGAAAGCTGCGGGGGCTTCTGGGGAAACATCTGGCCGGGCCCCCCGAGAGCGGCCTTGCCCAGGCGAAGGTGGCCCAGTGCATTAAGGAGATGGAAGAGACCCAGTTCAAGGCCCGGGAGGAGATGGTGGCCATGCTGGCTGAAAATGAAGACCTGAAAAAGGAAGCTGAGGAGGCCGTCCGCAGCAGGTTGCAGTTCCAAGCGGTGCCGTCCGGCGCAGTCAAGAAATGCGTTGCGGCCTGGAAGAAGGTGGTCACCGGCCTGGAAGGGGCACTGGCTAAGCTGGAAGAAGCCTCTTCTGCCCTCCTGGACAAAGTCCGTCCTCTCCAAGAAGCCATTTTGGAGCCTCCTTCCAAAACCTTGGTCAACGGCAACGGTCTTCCTGAAGAAGAGAAGAATGGCCACCAGCCGGCCCGCTCGGAGACCCTGGAGGAGCTGCAGAAAAGTGAGGTAGAAAAGGCCCAGATCCATAATGGTCTTGTGGGGCAGGTGAAGCTCAGGCCGAAACCTGAGGGGGTGGAAAACAAGGCCCGTCCATGCCGGAGAAGCTCCGATCTGGAGAAGGAGGTGTGGGACCTCAAGCAGAGCAACGGCGGCCTGGCCCAGGAGTTGGCCCAGCTGAGCAGGGAAAGGGAGAAGCTCCAGGAACAGCTCCAGAAGTTACACGGCCCCGCTGAGGGTTCTCCTCGGGTCGAGAAGACCGAGCGTCTGGTGGACGAGTTGAAACAAGCGGTGGAGGTCTTATCTGAGGAGCTCTCGCTGGAGAAAGAGGAATCGGGCAAGCTGCGCCTGAAGCTGCAGGAGCAGAGGAAGGAGGTGGCGTTTGTGAGGAACAACTTCCTCAAGAAGGTGAGCCAAGAGGCCGGCGGCATCGTTGGCGACAACCTGGACAGCTGCATCTTGAAGGAGCTCCACTGGAAGCTGGACAACGTGGTGAAGAAGCAGAACGAGGCCTTGCAGCTGGTCTCCGAGATGGAGGAGGAGAACCGGGCCTTGGAGGCCGACCGCAACCTCCCGCTTGACCCCAGGAGCCCCGACGATGGCAAAACCGGCCAAGACATCTTCTTGGAGGCCTCCGAGGTCATCGGAGAAAACTGGAAGGTCCGAGAACAGATGGTAGAACTGGAGAAAGGCTTGCAGGAGATGAAGAAGCTGCTGGTGGCATCTCAGGTGACCCAAGGAGGCCTCAAAGCGGCCAGCCTGATGCAGCTCCTGGACCGAGTCCTGGCCCAGATGGCCGACCTGCGCCGTGAGGAGGAGCAAGTCCTCGGCAAGTACGAGAAGATCTGCAGCATGCTGTCTACCAGGGCTCAGGTCCTGGGGGAGGAGCTGGCGGCTCTCCGGGAGAAATACGAGGAAGCCAATGGAGCATCTGCCCATCACAAAGACGCCCTGGACCGCGAGCTGCGGAAGACTCAAGAGCTCATGGCCGAAGCTCTGGAGCACGAGGAGGAAGTGGAAGAGCTGAGAGGGAAGTCCCAGAAGTTGGAGAGCACGGTGGACAAGCTGAACAAGAAGGTGGACGATATCGCCAAGATGTGCCAGGAGAGAGACGGCAAGGTAAGATCCAAACTGTCTCTGTGTGGGGGGAGGTGACTTTTAACAGAATCATAGAGAGTTGGAAGGGACCTTGGAGGTCTTCTAGTCCAGCCCCCTGCTCAATCAGGAGACCCTATGACCAGTGGCTGTTTCAGGTATCTTAAACCCATGCACAAGACGATATGTGGAAGTTAACAGAGTTGGAAGGGACCTCGGAGGTCTTCTAGTCCAACCCCCTGCTCAAGCAGGAGACCCTAGACCCTTTCAGATAAGTGGCTGCCCAATCTTTTCTTAAAAACCTCCAGTGATGAAGCACCAGTGGTGGGTTTCAAAAATGTTTGGAACCTCTTCTGTAGGTGTGGCCTGCTTTCCAGGTCCCTCGGTGGAACCTCTTCTAACCAGTTCGGTAGATTTGACGAACCGGTTCTACCGAATAGGTGTGAACTGGTAGGAACCCACCTCTGTGAAGCACCCACAACTACTGGTGGCAAGCTGTTCCACTGGTTAATTGTCTTCACTGTCAGGAAGTTTGCCCTTAATTGTCAGTGTTTGTTGCAGAAAAATCAAATCCAGAAAGCACACACAGATAACCGATTCAGCAGGATTCATTAACTTCTCTATATACATAATAACCCAGGAGTAAATGTACAATACCAATAGCGGATTCTTCCAACGTGGTGGAGAGTGACAGGCAAAAAACACAGGCAGAGGAGAGAAGCACTTTCAGTTCAGCTGTCTAGTTTCAGTTTCAATTCTCAGCAGACTCGATCAGTTCTCTTGCACAGACTCAGAGCTACACAGCTAAGCCACGCCCAGGCTCTGAGCCTTCTGGCGTGGCTCTCAGTCACCAATTAGTTCCCATTGGCTGACCCAGTGGCCATGCCTATCCATTGGCTGACCTTGTTACCCTGTCCTCTTCCAGCCAGTCCCCAATGGCTGACCTGTGGCTACGTCCTATTCCAGTTCATGAATATTCTGACGTAGGTTGCTTCTCTCCTTGATTGGTTTCCATCCATTGTTTCTTGTCCTGCATGCAGGGGAAGGATTTCCGCCAGAAAAAAAAAAGTCAATTTTTATGGAAAGTTGTCAAACTGGCTGACGTTCCTATACGAGTAAACTTTTTGAGTGAACAATTAGAAGTCTTCTTTTAGAACTACAAGCACAAATGGGAGGAGAATTTCTGTTGTTAAGCCAGGCGGTTGTTTTAAGTGAATCGCATCTAATTTTTTTCCTGCGCCTGTTAGGTGAATTATTGCAATTGCTAAACGAACCAGGTAGTTATTAAGTGAAGTTTCCAAATTTCCAAGTTTAATAAAATTTGTGTGCCGCCCACTCCCATTGGGACTCTGGGCGGCTCACAGCAAGACAAAGAAACCGTTAAAATTTAAGAATAAAAAATACAATATTAAAATTCCACATCATCCATTCCATCTAAGCGGGGCTGGATATCAATCAACAGCCCCAGGGCTGCCGTGAAGGTCGCAAATGGGGATCACAGAACCCCAGGATGCTAAAACCATCACGAATAGATGCCATTTGACAAGAGTCTGAAATTTTGATCATGTGATCATGAGAAAACTGCAATGGTCATAAGTGTGAGGACCGGCCATAAGTGTGAGGACCGGTCATAAATCACATTACAGCCATTCATTTAGCAACCGTTCAAAGTTACAACGGACTTCTGACCGTTCTTCATGCTTACGACCTTGGTGGCATTCCCATTGTCGCCGGATCAAAATTGGGGCGCGCAGCAACTGGCATGTAATTATGACGGTTGCAGTGTCCCCGGGGTCACGTGATTCCCTTTTCCTGGATTCGTTTAGCAACCAGGTTCTTCACTTAATGACTGCAGCAATTCACTTAACACCCGTGGCAAGAAAGGTTGCAAAATGGGGGAAGACTCACATCATGACTGAAAACTCGCTTAACAGCAGAAAAGTTGGGCTCCCTTGAGGTCATAAGTCAGGGACTACCCATAGCGTCTGTCTGGTTTCCCCTCAGATCAAGAAGTTGCTGAAGGAAACGGAGAAGCTCTCGAGCGAAATCTTGAACCTACGGAGCGAACGCACACGGCTGATCCTGCAGAACGAGGTGAGTCGCGCAGGACTTGGGGTTGTGTGTGTGAGACGGTGGTGAAAGTCTTTTTTTTTTTACTACCGGTCCTGTGGGCGTGGCTCGGTGGGCGTGGTGTGGCTCGGTGGGCGTGGTGTGGCTCGGTGGGCGTGGCTCGGTGGGCGTGGCAGGGGAAGGAGACCGCAAAGTCTCCATTCCTGCCCTACTCTTGGTTTATTTCAGGTTGCGCAAAAGAACCACCAAGAGATTGTGTCTATATACAGGACTCACCTGCTCAATGCTGCTCAGGTAAGACAGGTGGGAGCTTCCAGAAGCTTTCTCTCTTTCCCCTCCCTTTTCCCTCTCTCTTTCTTTTCTCTCTCCCTCTTTCCTTCTCTCCCGCTCTTCTCTCTCTCCCCTTTTCTCCCCCTTTCTCTTTCTCTCTCCCTTTCGCTTTCTCCCTCTCTCCTTTTCTCTCTCTTCCTATCTCCTTTTCTCTTTCACTCTCCCCCCTCTCTTCTTCTCTCTCTGTCCCCTTTCTCTCTCTCCCTCACTCTCTGTCTGTCTTTTCTCTTTCTCTCTCTTCTCTCTCTTTCTCTGTCTGTCTTTTCTCTTTCTCTCCCCCCTCTCTTCTTCTCTCTCTGTCCCCTTTCTCTCTCTCCCTCACTCTCTGTCTGTCTTTTCTCTTTCTCTCTCTTCTCTCTCTTTCTCTGTCTGTCTTTTCTCTTTCTCTCCCTCCCTCTCTCTCTCTCTGTCTTTTCTCTTTCTCTCCCCCCTCTCTTCTTCTCTCTCTGTCCCCTTTCTCTCTCTCCCTCACTCTCTGTCTGTCTTTTCTCTTTCTCTCTCTTCTCTCTCTCTCTCTGTCTGTCTTTTCTCTTTCTCTCTCTCTCTCTGTCTTTTCTCTTTCTCTCTCTCCCACTCTCTCTCTGTCTGTCTTTTCTCTTTCTCTCCTCTCTCTCTCTGTCTTTTCTCTTTCTCTCCCCCCTCTCTTCTTGTCTCTCTGTCCCCTTTCTCTCTCCCCCCCCCTCTCTCTGTCTTTTCTCTTTCTCTCTCCTCTCTCTCAAGGCGGCCAACCTTTTCTCTCCCCCTCTCTTTCCCTCTCGCTCCTTCTCCTGTTTTTCCTCCTCTCTCCTTTCTTTCTCTCTTTCTCTCCTCTTCCTATCTATCTCCCCCTCTCTCCCCCTTTCCCCCTCTCTTTCCCCCCTTTCTCTATAGAATAAAATAGAATGAATAGAGAATAGAATATAAAATAGAATAAACAGAGAATAGAATAGAGAATAGAATGGAATGGCACTTAGACTTATACCCCGCTTCACAGTCCTTTTACAGCCCCCTCTAAGCCATTTACAGAGTCTGCCTATTTGCCCCCAACAATCTGGGTCCTCATTTCACCCACCTCGGAAGGACGAAAGGATGAGGCGACCTTGAGCCAGTCAGGTTCGAACCGCTGGCAGTGGGCAGTGAGTTAACCTGCAATACTGCATCCTCACCACTGCACCACCACGGCTCCCAATTATGGTTGCAAGTCAAGGACCGCCACGATTAGATTTGTTTCTGGCAAAGGAATTCAACAATGGGTGTTTGCTTTGAAGGGAAATCCCTTTGCAGGCCAGAGATGCACAAGTTACATATTTTTTTGTTGGGGGGGTGGGATATTTTTCTCCAATGCAGGGCTACATGGATGAAGAGGTCCACGCCATGCTGTTGCGGATCCTGAGGACCGACTGAAGTCCAGAAAACCCTGTGTAAGAACCTTATTTACAGATCTATTCTTAAAAGGTACACCTCGGATCGCCATTATTCAGGATTTCATTGGATCCCTAAATCTCATGATAAACGAGATTTCAGTCACCTCCAGCTGTTTTTTAAGGGTCTCCCACACTTCTTGTTTTTTCTCAAGTGGCAGGCAGTTCCAGGGCAGTGGTGGGTTCCGGATCCCGTCGCAACCGATACGCTGCACACTGATACGCGTGCGTGCACAAGCCACCACCCTGTGACACCCACCTGCTCGGGGGAGGTCGAGCATGCGCCAGTTGCTGTGCACGCTTGCGCAATTGGCTGGTTGCGTTATAAACTGCTATGGAAGCTGGGCAGGCCAAACAAGCCACCGTACCGGTATGGTGGCCGCTGGTCCCGGCTTCTACTGGTACGGTCCTATTGGGCCGTACCGCCCGGAACCCACCACTGTTCCAGGGAGAGCTTCCCAATCTCAGTCAGAGAACCGTTTAAGAACTGACTGGCTGGAAATGTCACCAGACACCTGGTTCATACTATCATACGTGGTGGAGGTGTCGAAAAAGGGGAAAAAAATACTGGGCAAAAATACATACGTGGCTGGAAAAAATGACAAAACAACATAAGGACTTGAAAACAGAGAAATGTTTGTTGGGCACTTTACCAGACAAGTATAACAAAGGGAATGTAGATCTGGTTTTGCAGGTTTTGACTGCAGCGAGAATCGTATTTGCACCGCAGTAGAAAAGTGAAGAGATTCCAAGAGATGAAAATGTGATTTTAAAAAAATGCTAGGATGTGCAGAAATGGACAGGCTAAAACAATTAAGAAAAAGAAAGGAACTGAATATGTATGAGAACAATTAGCCAGTGGGACACTTGTCCCAAAGGTGTTTTTTTCAGGAGGCAACACCTGGACTTTCTTGTTATTCTTTGAAGACATTTCGCTTCTCCTCCAAGAAGCTTCTTCAGTTTCTTCAGAGGGACACTTGCCTTCAGAAGTTGTGGGAGTCTCCTGCTTGAGCAGGGGGTTGGACTAGAAGACCTCAAGGTCCCTTCCAACTCTGTTATTCAGTTGCTAAGTGACAATGGTCATGGGTAACTTTGTAACTTTGAACCATTGCTAAGCGACTGGTTGTAAGTTGCGGGATACCTGCACAGCGTAACCATCCTCAGAGTTTACAACCGATTAGTCCTGAGGAAACTGAGTGTCAGGGTAATGACCAGCTGCTATAAGGCTGTAAACTAAGATGGTAACATGAGGATGAGTTAGCAGGGTTACTGCCACTTTAAGAAGCTGTATATATAAGGGAGGCCATGTGAAGACATCTCTCTCTCCCTCTCTCTCTCTCTCTCCTTGTGTATCTATCTTTATTGTAGTTCTCCGTGTAGAGTTGAAGTTTGCTTGCTTGCTTAGTATTTGCCTGACATATGTAAATATGTATATATAGGTCTTATATATAAACCACTGCTTAAAATACAAACCTCTGTGTATTTTGCTCCTGGGTTGTCTCAAAACAATAGCCACGCTGTGCACACTCAGCGTCTCAACGGCAGGAACAATTCAACGATATTTGAAAAGCGGACTTTCCCAGAGAAATCAAGGTGGCCTCCAAACGCGTTTGGGAATCGGAGGGAATTGCGATCCCTTTTTCCCCCCCATTCCAGGTTTAATTTCACAGCCCCAACCGTTCACAGCGCTAAAACCATTTCCCCATCCTCTTTTCCCTTGCAGGGCGAGAAACCAGCTGCCAATTCTCCCAGGAGCCGGCTCCGATTTCGGGTATCGCCCGTTGCGCAAAACCACGCAGGAAGGGTACAACTTTGCACACAAGACCGTCTGGCTTTTTGCCAGTCGCTGGAATCATGAATGCGAAATCCATTTTGCACGGTGTCTGAATGTCCGACTCGCTCTTTAGACCGGGGGTCGGCAACCGTAAACACTCAACCGGAAGCCCCGCATTAAATTCTGAAGCCGACTGGAAGTCCGGTTCCCCCACCATAGAGTCTCTTCCTAGCACTGCATCCCTTTTTCCTCTACCTGTCCTAACTGAAAGCCCTATCAATTGTGGAGACGACTGGCGACAGGGAGCCGCAGCAGAGGGATGAAAGAGCCACATGCAGCTCCAGAGCCGCAAGTGGCTGATCCCTGCTTTAGATGGAGACCTGGGTTGGGCGGGGGGGAGGAAAAGGGGGAAAAAGGACTAGTCTTCTCTGCCGTGAGGTTTTGGGGTGCAAGCCATTCTTGCGAGGGAATTGGGAAACACTTGCTCTTCATTGGAGGGGTGCCGGCAGTAACCACAACACAGAGCTGGAGACATCAACTATTTCGATTTCCTGTAATGATTAAAATTTGGAAATTATCCTGTACTTAACGCCAGCAATTTGGCACTGAGATTGAGATGATGCTGTTGCAATGCCTGTGACTAAAAGCATGTTCCAGAACCAGGGCCGGATTTTCCTATAGGCTAACTAGGCTTCAGCCNAGGGCTGTTTTTCCACACTTAACGACCGTTGCAGATTCGTTCCCCCTCCTCGATCACGTGATCAAAATAGGGGTACTCATATTTACGACGGTTGGGGGGGGCTGTCATGGGATCCCCTTTGGAGGCCTTGGAGAAGCCCATGGGGGAAAACCCAGATTCGCTTAACGACCCCATGCTCCTGGCTTCAAAATTGCGGTGATTCGCTTAATAGCTGCAGCCGGTGAGGACCTAAAATGGGGCAAAACTCATTTAGCAACATCAATTTTGTGTCTCTCTGTGTGTGATGTGTTTGGTTGCTTTTGGTTGTAAGTCGAGGACTGCTACGTAGCCAGCCAAGGTTGAGCAGTGCTTTTTGGTCATTACATTACATTACATTACTCACAAATGCAGCCGTGGAGGGTTGCAGGGACTGTCCCACCAGCAAAACACAGACCAAACCCCCTCCCCATTGGCCCCAGCTAGCCCCCCTCCCCCTTTACTCCTTGCCTACCCCCTAAATCGGCAGCTAATTTTTGTCCCTTTTCGTCACAGCTTCTGTGAAGGGAAAGGGTAAATGGAGAGTCTTGGGAGGGGGTCCTGGGTGCTCTGTGGGCTTGGCTGTTTTCTTGTAAACGTTTCATGACCCAGCTAGGGAACATCATCAGTGCTAGAAGGGAGTGGGGCTGTGTAGCGAGGAGGAGGAGAACTAAGGGGTCTTTGGTGACCTCTGAGCTGGGTGGTTTTCTTGCAGACGTTTCATGACCTAACTAGGTAACATTGTCAGTGCTAGAAGGGAAAGGTGTTTGCAGAGAGGAGGAAGAAAGAGCAGGGCTAGAAGGGAGTGGGATTTGTGGAGAGGAGGAGGAAGATGATGATGATGATCAAGACTAGAAGGGAGTGGGGTTTGTGGAGAGGAAAAGGAGAGGAGGAGGAGAATACTGTGGGGTCCTTGGTGACCTCTGAGCTTGGTTTTTTTGTAGACATTTCATGACCAAGTAAGTAACATCATCAGTGCTAGAAGGGAGTGGGGGTTGTGGGGGAGGAGGAGGCTGTGGGGTTCTTAGTTGTCTCTGAGCTTGGTTGTTTTCTTGCAGGCGTTTCATGACCCAATTTAGGGAACATCATCAATACACTGACATCATGACTTAGTTGGGAATCAAATGTCTGCAAGAAAACAAGCAAGCTCAGAGAGCACCAAGGACTCCATAGTATCCCCCCCCCCTACAAACTCCACTCTCTTCTAGCACTGATGATGTTCTCTAGTTGGGTAATGAAACATCTGCAAGAAAACCACCAAGCTCAGAAGCCCCTCATTTCAACCCTGATCTACAAACATTCTCCTTTACTCCCTCAGGACTCCCTTGTGATCTCAGTGTCCCATGTGATGCTTCTCTTTGACTTTCCCATCTTGGACACCTAAAGAGATTTCATTCTTTTTTAAAAATATTTTATTTTTATTAAACAAAAACACACACAAAAAAAGAATCATCTTTCGTTACATCTTGTAGAAAGCGTGTCAATTGGTTACAGATACATTTCGTGCGTTTCTTCCACAATCAGTACATATACTTCATTCAAATTGAGTTGTACATAGAGATTTCATTATTATTCATAGGCAGTGATGGCAGTTGTCGCCAGACACTTTTAGAGGCCCTCTGGATTGGGGGGGGGGGAGTCTGAAGGGCATGTTACGCTGGGTTAGGGGGCAGGCAACCCACAGGCCAGCAATCCTCCTTTAAGCCCACGCCATGGTTTGCCAGTTTGCCATGCTACGGCCAGCAAGAGAAATGTGCCATGTGCTCAGTGGTATTAATCAAGCAACTGAGCATCCCCCCCACACCCCTTTGATTCCGTGGGGATTCCCCAGACACCATTCGCAGTAGGTAGTTCCCAAGGACTTTACCCACTTCCCTCAACTTCTTCAAGTGAATTCCTGTTCTTCTGTGTCCTCCAGTGGCATTCTCAGTTTCGGTTGAGAGGCTATTGTGCTCCTACTTTCCAGAAATCTTAAAGCTAAAAGTATCTCCCCCCCCCTCCCAAAATAAAACATACCACGACATGAATGTCAAGTCAAAGTTTTGACCCTTGCCTTGTAAAGACGACTTTGCAAAGGTTGCTTTTGATGCCGGTGTTTGAACGGACTGGGTGGCACAGTCTGGGTGGCTTGAGATCTGTCAGTTCTGGAGCGCTTGGATGGTGGCCATAGAGCTTGGCAGCTGGTGCCACTGTGAGGTCTTTTAATAGACCATGGCACATGGCTTGCTGTCTGCACAGGAGCAGACCCAGCCAGTCCCTTCGCATCAAGCAATGGCTGGGGGAGGGTCGGTGCAAATCAGCAGTGTTTCTTCTTTGGGAATGCAGAGAGTTTAGGTCCGTGATGGCAAACCTGTGGCACATGTGCCAGAGGTGGCACGCAGAGCCATCTCTCTGAGCACACCAGCTGTCGTCCGTTGCTCTTCCGGGTTCCGGCACACAGCTGGTCTTTGCGCATACATGTGCGCCACAAATTGGAAGGCCGGGACACATCTGCACACTGGAAATTGGAAAGTCAGCTTCCCAGGGTGCCCATACGCGGGGGGGAACTGCTCTTCTGGTTTCTAGTTCTCCCGCGCATGCATGCCAGGGAGTTGGTCTTCCGGTTTCTGGCACCTTGTTCGCCAACACTGGCTTAGATTGTGCCCCCCAAAGACGTTTTTCCAAAAGGCAACTGAACTTCCTTGGAGTTTTTCCTTAAAAATGTTTTGTTTCTCATCCAAGAAGCTTCCCCAGTACTGGTTGCCTTTCAATCAGAACGGAAGAAGCTTCTCGGTTGAGAAACGAAACATTTCCAAGGGGGGGAAAAATCCCAAGACAATCCGGTTGCCTTTTGGAAAAACAAGTTTGGGACAACCATGAGCTGGATGATTGAAAATCTCCATAGTCAGATTGGATTGTGGCTTTTTCTTTGTCAACTGGAGCCGTTGCGGGAGGAGAAGGCTGATTTTATACATCCCTCCAGCTATGCATTCCAGAAGGGTGGCTGTATTAGATTCTGACGGTAAAACCCACAACTGCACACTAAGCTATAATGGTATACAAATTGCTATGAGTGAGTTCATGTAACATGCTGAGTAATAAAGCAAATTTTATTTCTATTGCATTGTTCTTATCTGCCCAACTTCCTCAAAGAGGAAGGACCCTTAGGAAAGAGAAACCCTCGACTCCGTTTGGGCAAAGTGATGGGTTTTGCTAAAGGTTGCTGGTTGCAGTAAAATTGGGCTAGAACTAAGATTCCCCCCACAAAAGTTACCAATTCCCCCCCCCCCCTCATCCCAACCCTCTGTCCCATGACCAGTTTGTCTTCAGCCAATGGAGAGCCATGCATTGAATTTTTTGGCTTAGAAGACGCACCTAAATTTGGAAGAGGAAAACAACAACAACAAAAAAAGGTTTTTGGCCTATGCGCACCACATTTTCAGCCCTTTTGGGGGGCTTTTTTCTACCCATTTTTTAGGCTTTTTTGGCCCATTTGTGAGGCTTTTTTCAACCCATTTTCAAGGGTTTTTTGGGCCCATTTTTTCAAAAGAAAAGGGGCTGAAAAAAGACCCGAAAATGGGGCGTGCAGAGGCAAAAGTAATGACTGGCAGGTGGGCGGGGCTTCGGCAATATTCGGTCTATAAGACACACAGACATTTTCACCCCCTTTGGAAGACAAAAAAGTGTGTCTTACAGCCCGAAAAATACGGTGGGTGTTTTGAGAATCGCTGAGATGTTTGGAAAACCCAAATTCCAAATTTGGCCTTGAAGACTGGCACAAACTGATTCTGTGCCTCTTCGTCAGGCCATCATCCCCCTTCCCTATTTCACATCCTCATGCATGTTTATTGCTCATTTGTCCCTCCCCCCCCCCAAGCTTTTGGTGGCAGAATGCTGGCAAGGCGCCAAGCCGAAGATGGCAGAACTGACAGTGAGGTTCTGGGGGGTGCAGAGGGCCTCATGGGTGTGTGTGTGTTATATAACAGCTTCACGTTATGCCTGAGCCCAATTTTTGAGCGGCAGCTTCTTCCTAACCTTGAATGCCTCCTGTGCTTTTTGTAGAGCTGTGGTTGAAGCAGTGCATCGATTGGATCTCATTCTTGGAAACAAGGCAGCTTATCAAGAAGTATTTAAGCCAGAGAACATCAGCCTGAGAAACAAGTAAGAAAGTTGGGCCTTTCTTTATTTCATGTTTTTTACCAGATGAATAACCTTGAAAGGACAGGAGGCAGCAGTCTTCACTCGAACGGAATAAGTCTGGGCAAAATATTGCTGGGGGAAATTTAGTTCCATTGAAATACAGACTATCATAAAAATGTCATATTCCTGTGTGGCAAAACTAGCTTGCTGTTCATTCCATTCCTTCCTTNCATCCATCCATCTCTATTTTTCAATCTATCATCTATTCACCTGTCTCTATCATCTAATCTGTCTCATAGGATCACAGAATCATAGGGTTGGAAGGGACCTTGGAGGTCCTCTAGTCCAACCCTCCGTTCAGGCAGGGAACTTTATACCATTCCGGACAAAGGCTGTCCAACCCCCCCTCCCCCAAAGGTTGCAATGTCCCGGCGGAGAGGAGGAAGGGGGGACCTTGGCAAAAGGCTGGTCCCATGCTGCCCTCTGCTGGCGGCAGGCGGCAGTGCAGCCTCTCCCCATGGTGTAAAATCTCTCTGTCTCGCCAATCCAAATTGGGTTTTGACTCTCATATCTCAGTTTTTCGATCCGTGTCTGAGTTTCCAGGCTGATTGTTTCAAACTCGAGACCTTTTGGGGCATGTGTGAAATAAGTAAAAATAAATGCATAAAACGGATTTATTGTGCTTTTTGTTCATCAAAAAGAATTTTGCAGAGAGAGGCTGCATTGCCGCCAGCAGAGGGCAGCAAGAGACCAGCCATAAATATGTTTATTATGTTTTTAAATAGAATGTTGGTTTACATGTAGTCCTCTACTTACAACTTACGTTTAGTGACACAGAAAACAGTGACAGGTGCATTTTGCACATATGCACATATATAATGTCCTTGAGCGGGGGGCTGGACTAGAAGACCTTCTAGGTCCCTTCGACTTCTACTTCTGGTTCTGAAAATGTGGATGCTTATACCCATCCAGTTCGTATTTGTGACGGTCAGAGTGTCCCTGGCTCATGCAATCCTCCTTTGCAATGGGAAAGCCAGATTCACTTAAAAAACATCTCACTAACTTATCAACTGCAGGGATGCGCTTAACAACGGTGGCAAGAAAGGTCGTAAAAAGGGGCAGAACTCCCTTCGCAACTGTCTTGCTGAGCAAGAGGAATTGTGGGCGCAATGGGGGTCACAAATTGAGGACTACCTCTGTTTAATTAGCCTGCTTTATCAACTCGGAAATCCAGCCTCCAAAAGCCCATGTTTTGTTTAAAGGTAAAGGTTTCCCTCGCACATATGTGCTATTCGTTCCTGACTCTAGGGGGCGGTGCTGATCTCTGTTTCAAAGCCAAAGAGCCAGCGCTGTCCGAAGACGTCTCCGTGGTCATGTGGTCAGCATGACTCAATGCCGAAGGCGCACGGAACGCTGTTCCCTTCCCACCAAAGGTGGTTCCTATTTTTCTACTTGCATTTTTTAATGCTTTCCAACTGCTAGGTTGGCAGAAGCTGGGACAAGGAACGGGGGCTCACTCGGTTGCGCGACGCTGGGGATTCAAACCGCCAACCTTTCTGATCGACAAGCTCAGCGTCTTAGCCCCTGAGCCACGGCGTCCCTTATCCCCCACTAAATCTGAATTTCTCTGCTCTGGTAGCCTCACGGTGGGAAGCAACTTTCCACAAAAGCTCCGTGCACGGAGGATGAGAGAGACTGGTAGTTCTCCACTTATGACCACGATTGAGCCCAGCACAACAATTTCTGTTGTTGTGAATTTTGACCCATTTTGCAACCTTTCTTGCCACAGTTGTTGTGAATCACTGCAATTGTTAAATTAGTAACACAGTTGTTAAGTGAATCTGGCATCTCCATTGACTTGGCTTGTCAGAGGTTCATAAAACTTGGTCATATGACACTGCGACCGTTATAACTATGAGTCAGTTGCCAAGGGTCCGAATCAATCAATCATCTATCTATCTATCTATCTATCTATCTATCTATCTATCTATCTATCTATCTATCTAT